ATTAGCTTGAATAATCAGTGGTACTTGTTCCCTTCATCTTTTCTTTCGAGCATCTTCTTTTTCACAACACTTTTCGTTGAGACGAGGGTATTGTTGTAATATTGCACATTTTAAATATCTGCTTATGTCATGCAGTTCGTACAATCCTTCGAGAATGATAATCTTTTTGTCGTCTTTGTCAAAGTAAAATTTATTATTAGACAATATTACATTTGGTATCGCGTGGTACGTTTCAAAATCTGTCTGACCGAGCTCGTAATCACCAAATCGCTCAAATCTATGGCTGGAAAGTAGTTTACCGAGAGCAGACTACTCTTACCGGTCAACGTAAACGTTAGTGACGTGTTTGATCGAATACTGACTTTATACAACGCAATGTCGGTTCTTAAATTGATTGTCAACTCCCTTCAGAAACTGCAGGCATAATTGTTTACAATTGTTTTGATCATACTGTTGATATGCTGTATGATTATATTTGATGTATATCTTTTCTAGATATCGTACTAATTCCTTCGATGGTCGAAGATTGCCAAAACTATCAAAATAAATATCGATCCCCCTTCTTTGCATACGCTACCCAACGAGTACTTGATCCCTCAGCATTATCCAAATTCAAGATACCGTTCTCATTTCGATGTACTCCTAGGTAAGGTAGTACGCATAAAAATGCCTCTAAAATATGAAATGCGTTGCCAATTGTTGTAATTGTACGTTGGTAGTTACATTTTTAGGAACTTTTTCTCTGACGTTTTTTTTTCTTGAGAGGCACTTCGTCCACACTTGTACAGAGCAAAATAAAGTCCATGACTTTCCATAGCACGATTATGATGTTTCAATTCATTCTTCTAGCTGACGTTGCACGGCTTTGTTATCGTTTACTGCCTTGGCAACCTTGCTTGCCGCTCCACCAACCGAGAACTCTCAAATGGCAGGATAGGTAGGATAGCACCGTGTTTCATACCGAAAATATTCTTTTATTCATTGCTCTCTTCTTCTTCCTTTTTAAAGCTATGCCGATTTTTGTCTTGCCAGACGGCTGCAGCGGCAGCTCTTTCACCCAGAATCGAATTTTTCGCGGTAATGCGTTTTCGCGGCGAGTATATTGTCTACGTGTCATTTAGTGAGATTTTGCTTTGTGAGTAAACTATATCGTGTTCGCGGCACGCAATATCCAATAGATTAATTCCTCGATCATCTCTAGCCAACCGCTTTTTTAAAGCATTTCAGGACCGTAAAATTGATATCCGGGGATATGCAGTTCGAAAGAAA